AATCATGGTTAAAAATGTTGTTTAATTTTGTCAACATATTATAGTCATGGGTTTTTACAGAGGAAATTTTTGAAAACTCGTTTTAACACACCTAAAATATCCAGCATCTATATAGCATAAACTAGGTAAATGCAGTGTTTCCCACAAATAGGCTTTATTTGGTGGGACATTTATAATTTTCAATTTTATTTTATCCATCTGAGAAAATGATGCGCAAGTGATTAACTAGCGGGCACTCGCTCTCCTCCTCCTGTAGCTGCAGGTAAGCACCAAGGGAGGGGCGGGCGGGAGTCTCCGGTATAGACGTTGTTTTCTGGTACAATGTTAATAGAGACGCTGGGTGCAGTCAAATAGTCAATTTTGCTTAGGAACCTTCCTAATTGAGTTAAATGACCCGGAAGATGAGCGTTTTGTAGTCCATCTTATGGACGTTGTAGTTTTACGCATGATGACGTAGTCTACTGTAAGCGATCGTATTCTCTGAACTCTGGGGCCATTGTTTGGTATGAAGTTAAGACGCGGAACACACACATAAGCAGCAGCGTTTCAGTTACGTCATGTACGTGCCTCCTCCAGGGGACCATTAAGCGTGTACTTAAATTGACTGGCGCGTTGCACAGAATACTGCGGTACTTTGTTAATTAACCTCTGAGAAGCCTGTCTAAATTTGTGTCTCGAGGTTCCTCTTTTTTGGCAATCAAAATATGGTCACCCTACATAAACTACATGTAGGAATATATTTAATTTTCATTTATTTACATAACTTATGGGAAACACTGAAATGGTAAGAGAGCAACAGACAATGAGTAATCAGTAATTTGTTTTGAAATATAGTTACGTGCGCTTCTGGCAGTCTACTGGGCATTAGTTTGTCACCTATGACTCTTCTGCCCCCCGCATCTATGGACCTGGCCCGTCTGGTCAGCCTGATGGCTTTACAAGATAACTTTACTATTCCTTCATGTTGCCTTCGTGACTTTTTTATAATTTTAAAGATTAAAAAATATCCTTCAAACAAATCTATAAGGTCTGATTATAGGTGTATAATTGTTCTGTTGCTG